GCCGTGGAACACTGGATCAGCTCTACACCCTTAGCAGGATCCTGGAGGGTGCATGGGCGTTTGCCCAACTAGTCTACATGTGTTTTGTGTGTGAAGCGAGTGTGGAGAGTGTGAAGTGGTCGGGATGAGGATCAGTGCCTCCAAATCCGATACCATGGTCTTAAGCCGGAAAAGGTTAGAGTGCCTTCTTCGGGTTGGGGAGGATGTACTGCCCCTAGTGGAGGAATTTGAGTATCTTGGGGTCTTGTTCTTGTTGATCATCTGAAAATCAGTGAAATAGCCCAAACTCATCTGATTTAGCATGCCATTTTAATTAGGATTATTTTTTGTCAGAGCAACTGCATACCATACAGAGTAGTACGAGTATTATTAGGTTGTAATTGCTTATTTATAAGATATTTAAATTACTGGTTGTTTATGCACAGTTTTAAAATGACCTTTTCAGCCTGAAGCTATACTGGATGATTGAGTTCTGTATTTTTATGCATTTCAATATAATCCCAACCATTAAATGTGATGCAAAAACAAATAATGTATCAGTGGAATGTGTAAAGAAGATAGATAGATTTCCCAGAAAGCATGTTTTTTTCCACCTCTGGAAGAAAATTAAGCAGCATTTCAGACTCTCTAAAAATGCACTTTATAAGCACATTTTCCTCCCAGATTACTTTGTCATAAATGTAAATAAAATAGATGGCGATGGGGGAAAAAATACAAACAAAAACACAGACTGGTAAACGAATGAGATTTTCTATGTTTTCACACGTCATTTAATTTGCAGAGCTACTAAGCTGTCAGTCAAAGTCATCCGCTATTTCACAGCTCCCCTCCTAAACAACAGTATTTGGCAGCTCAGTGGCTGGCAAGGGCCAAACTATGTTTCAAAGCTTCCACTAAACAAGACAGATGCAATGTTTCTGTTCTTGTAACAGCAAAAATGGATGGGTTGGGTTGTGTCTGTGGGGGGCGGGAGTGGAACAGTGTCAGTAGGCTGAGACTGTTTTTTTTTTTAGCTGTTTGCAGCTATATATACATATATATATATATATATATATATATATATATGTATATATATAAACACTGTAATATTGATAGGTGAAGTGCCGTAGCTTTTCTACGGCACTTCACCTATCAATATTACAGTGTTTGTCTCAGAAACATTTCATTCATTCTAGTACTTACAGGAATGTGTGTGGACCACTTACAAACCCACGTCACAGTAGCACTTCAGAGGGTCCAAGGTTTTAACACATTGTCCAAACTTTCCACAAAGCAATCTAATGCTATCAAATGTGTGTGGGAGGCAAGTCTATCTCCAATCTGTATTTTATATGGGTTAATGTTTAAGCGTGTAAAGAAAATGGATGGATGGATGGAAATGCATTAACAAGCTCCACATCAACTGATCAAACCAGAACTGATTTTTTTTTTTTTTTTTGGTAATTAGAGATGTGTTACACCAGAGTGTAATTTCGAAACTTTCTTATGTAAATAAAACAAAAAGCTAATGCTTTCTGTTGTTGTTCAGAACTTTGAAGCAGAGATGGTTGTTCACGCGAGTTGTGCATATTTTTATTTGTCATCCTGGCGTGTTAACATGCTTTTATTAATGATCAAATCTAATTATTTTAGAAGATACATGAGGACATCAGGACACTGTGCTTTGCTGCAGATTTTTTCAACTATCAGAACAAATTTACTAAACAGCAGGGAAGCCATTTTACATTTTTACATTCTCTGAAAAATGGGTAGAACAACCAGCGTACCAGAGTACATGCGTATTTCTGATTTCCACCTCCAATTAACTTAGTCAACAAAATGCATAGATTCTAGCCAATCTAGTCAATGCAATAATTCAAACTGGCTTTACGATAACCATCCATCAAAGGGAGTAACAAATTTTTAAATGCATGGCAGAACAGGCGTATATTTCGAAAGACCATACTGAGCCATACTGAGCCACTTCACTGGAAAAGTTATCTAGAAATAAGTAAAAATGTTTTAAATGAAGTGAATTTACTCTTAATTTGAGTAGGTAAATGAGATAGTTTGCCAATGGAATGAGTACGGTAAGTAAGAAAATAAGATAAAATGCACTTGAAATAAGACAATGCAATTGTGTTTTTTTTTTATTTTAAATGTAAGTTGTCTTGTTCCATTGTCAAAATATATCCTTTACCTCCTCAATCCAAGAACAAATGCACTTATTTTAAGAAAAAAACGACTTATCTAGATTTCGATTTTTCTAGTGAAAGGATTAAGATTTAAGGCATAACTGTGTTGAATGAGGCCTTGTGTGCATCTGTCCACTCATCACACATCCTTGTAGGTTCATGTCAAATCACACATCCCTGCTTTCATGCTGAATGAGGTTCTTGTAGGATGCAGAAGATTTGCAAAGTAATTTGAGCAGTACTGTACAACTAAAGAATGTATAGCTAATTAGAAATAATTTAGCATTGCTGCAGACACACTTATCTCTACTAATTTATAATGGGCAGATATAGTATAATAAACAGTAAAATAATGTAGCAACACACATACACACCAAACTGTAAACCTCATGTTTAATCCGGAGACAATGTAGCTATAATTCTTCTTTTTATATTTGCTGAATTCATGTTCAGGCATTTTTTGGGAGGAATAGAGCAGACGCTAACAGATTTATGCTTGTTCAGTAGAGCTTATCTTCAGATGGCCTTGAGAAAGAACGCTGCGCTCTCAGAAGGAAGACAGATGTTTTTTGTCTTGTATACAATGTTTGATAGTGTTGCACACATCAGTCAGTGTAGCTGCATACATGCACACTCCGATATAAATTGTTAAAAACATTGTTATCTCTTCCTCTTGTTTTAGTCACACATTTGTGCACTGCTGGCAGTGGGGCAGTCCAGAATTATTATCATTTATCTTTCTGCTTAAGGTAATCCATGTTTTTTTTGTTTTTTTTTGTGAAGCTCTGTGCTGAGCAAAATGTGCTGATTTACTTTTCAAAACAGATTAAGACAGTTGCATGGACTTTAAAGACCATAATCACTGGGTGGGGTTTAAAAATAACCAGCTCTCTTACTGGTGGCTATTTCTTTAGGATTTCCTCTGCATGCAATATACTTTTCTATAGTTATATTATGCCTTCTTTCTTTAATTAGCTAGTTAGAGCAAATATATAAATATTTGGCTTAAGTAAAGTGAAATGCAAACACACCTACTCCTCTAACCCATCTCCTCGATTTCGGACAGTCTCGGCGGAGACCTCGGCTCAGACTTTGGCTGCCTCTGCTCATCACATTAAACAGAATTAGTGTACTTCTTACGTTTCTATAGCAACAGTTTCCGCTCAGGTCTTCAGGATATTGAACGATGTGGTGAAGAAGAGAAAAGAAAAGAAGCTGCAATGACATTCATATCTTTGCATTTTGATTAAATGAAGGTGACTAAATCCATTACTGCACAACCACCTGCCATACTCTGTGCACACATCTGCACAATGGGTCTTTTTTACGTTTAGTCTGTTGATGATAATTACAAATTAGGTGTTACAGAGTCAAAATGTACATTAATGGGGGAATTATACTTTACAACAGCAACAGAAATAAGAGGTACATTAAATACACTGCAAATTGTTATTTCAATCAGGTATGAATCTCGAGGTAGTTCCTTGGGATTTTATTATAAAAAGAAACGTGATATATAATTGTAGAAAGAACAAAAATGCATTATTTTCATGGGATACTGTTTACAAAAAAATTGATTTGTTCTCCATGTACATACTTCCTGCAGGGCTTGAGGTCAAATGCAAACAGTTCTCAACGCCTTCTTTTAACAATGATTTTATTTATTTTTTGCTGCTGGTTCTATAGAACGATAATATTTTTAGTTCATCTTGCAAAGTAAGCCTAAAGTGCCCTCAGTCTGTCCAGAATGCAGCCACCTGTCTTAAAAGTAACACCTCCCAGCATGTGCAGATACATTTTTTTTTATACTTTACACTGGATTCTTGTTCGTTTTAGATTTGATTTGAAATTTTACTGTTCATTTTTCAATCTTTCCACCTCCTTCGAGCGCCCTATTCGTCCAAATGTTAAAGCCTATTTGGGAGGCGCGTCCATTCAGCTTTTATTAGATGTTTCAAGGCTGGGCTTTTTTTGTTTGTGGCACGCAGACCTTTAGATTGCATTCATATTCTAAACATAACAGGCCTTTTTTTTTAATCGGATGTTCTGTGTTTTGGTTTCCTTAAACAGATGTTTTACAGCAACTTTATAAATCAATAAATGAAATAAAAATGAAGTTGTCCTGTAAAGAGATTCCCCCACCTAAGATTTGGATATATGCAGCTCTTCAAGAGTGTCCATGAATATTATGGTTGCTTGTCTGATTAAAGCTCTCCTTTTCTGGCCAATGAATTGAGTTGTTGAGCATCACTTTATTGCTGATCTGTATGGTGTGGGTATTGAACTATATCATGTTGTTTTGGTTACTAATGTTTTATATAAAACCTCTTTATAATAGTGGGTTATTATATACATATAGTTTTTCACCAAAAATATTTCTTTAGATGGCATTTGGTTGAACTGGCTTTTGGTTTGGAGTATTAGATTTTAAAGGAACTATCAATTAGAAAGGTTAGTGAACTATATCAGTTTTACTCTTCAATCTACAATTATGTGTTACTAGAGATTAGTTAAACATCTTCAATACTAAATCAAAAATGTTGTTTCTGTATCATAGCAATATTTACAAAGCTCAAGGGGTGTGACTATTTTGTTGATGGGCTATATGTAGACATTGTAGGTTATTATATCCATATTTTTAAAGTTGTGCATTATTCTAAAACAGGATGTGAATTTATCTATATGACATTTTTAAAGAATACATTAGGCATAATTCTTGTGTTTCATTTTGCACCTCTGCCTCTATTCCTTGTTTTCTTTTAGACACTAAGATATAGAGGTGAGGTGATGGCGGATTTGGCAGGCAGCAAAGATCTCAGTGGACGGTCTGCTGCACACTGAACCGACTGAAAGCAGCAAAACACTGAAGGGTATACAGGTAGGACCGGATTACTACAACTGCTTCAAGGACAACTTTTGTGAGCATGATAAGCGTTTTTATTGCATGAGTTACTTCATGGCCTTGAGCAGAATTTTTTAAGTCTTCTGTGTTTTATACCAGTTTTCTTGAAGGAACTATTACTTTCATTCATTTTGATGTTCTATTTTTATGCAGTGCAAAAGCCAAAATAGTTTTCATTGACTAAATGACAAAGCAAGGCAAATTTCTGATGACTTTGCTATTTAGAGGCTTCAAAATCACTCCTAGACTGTGATGAGATTATACGAGTCTTATGCTTTTTTAATCATGTGCCTAAAAAAAACGTTTCCTTCCTTTTCTTTTTATGTCTAATGGACATCTCTCTGTCCATTTAATCTTGCAGAATGGATTTCTTTAATTGGACTGATGGAGCCTTCGCCACAAACAGCAGCAGTAACGACTCCTTTGAGACTGCAACAGTCCCCCCCAGTAAAATCCTGCTAACAATAACCCTTTCTGTCGTGGCAATACTAACTACATTCTTTAACTGCCTGGTGATCACAGCTATTGCTGTCACCCGCAAGCTGCACCACCCAGCTAACTACCTCATCTGCTCGTTAGCGGTGACTGACCTGTTGGTGGCTGTGCTGGTTATGCCCTTTAGCATCATCTACATCCAGAATGAAAAATGGGTCATGGGTGAGGTGGTGTGCACCATCTGGTTAAGCATAGACATTGCGTGTTGTACCTGCTCGATTCTGCACCTCGCTACAATTGCCATTGACCGTTACAGGGCCATTACGGATGCTGTGGAGTACTCCCGCAAGCGCACAGGAGCCAGGGCTGGTGCAATGGTGGCAGTGGTGTGGCTCTTGTCCATTCTTATCTCACTCCCTCCACTTCTCTGGCGACACTACAGCAATGATGAAGAGCATAAGGACCAATGTATCATCATCCACCATCACATGGCCTTCACTCTTTATTCCACACTTGGAGCATTTTACATTCCCCTGCTGCTCATTCTCATCCTCTACTATAAAATCTACAAGGCTGCTCAGACGCTTTACATGCGCAGAGAGGCTAGCAGGGCGAGTCGTCACTCATGCATGACCAATGGGAGCATGATCCCTTCCCCCTATCCTGCTGGAGACAGCGATGGCGAAGGGGGTCCTCGGAGTCCGGATCCCATAAGTCCACCAGAAAAGTCTTTCTCCGAACCTTCTACTGAGGAAACACCACGTGAACGGGTGCGAGTCTCCAAAAAGGTTTTCAAAAGCAAGGCACGCAGGCACGACTCAAGAAGTGAGTCACGTCGCAGCCAAGTTTACCAAGCACCCCGAATTTCAGGCTCACGGGAACGAAAGGCGGCGTCCACTTTGGGGTTGATAATAGGGGCCTTTGTAATCTGCTGGCTGCCATTTTTTCTCAAGGAGGTGATTGTAAACACCTGTGGTTCCTGTAACACTTCCATCGAAATGGCAGATTTTCTCACATGGTTGGGCTACCTTAACTCTCTGATCAACCCCCTCATCTACACCATCTTTAATGAGGACTTTAAGAAAGCCTTCCAAAAACTTATTAGGTGCAGCCATTACCTCTGATACTTAGTCATGCAAGATCAAACTCACACACCATTAAACAGACATTTGTAACAAAAACAAAGCAAAGGTATGGAGTCAGACAGAAAACACTGAACAAACACTGAATATAATGTAAAGGAAGGGAAAGAGAAACAAAAGATGAAAATGAGACTGGTTACCATTTTCTGAATTGATTTTAACTTCTTCTACAATCTAAATGTGACTCAACCTCACTGATGGTTTAATGTTCTACTTTGGAGTCCAGGCTCTGCTGTTTATAGATCAGCCCAGCATCTCCCGAATGTTAATAGGTCTGTGTGAAGAGACGCTGACATGTTGGTTTAAAAACAAAAAAATAGAAATAGGCCATTGCTGACCTTTCTCAGTTGTGGGCTCTAAGCAGTAGAGATTAGTCCAATTTACAGTAAAGGTCTAAAAATATCTGACCATCATGTCCAATCCATCTAATAAGTCAAATTTTTTTATCTTGACTCTACTTGCTAAAATGTGTAACATGTAAAATACCACAACCTACTAACTTACTGTTTTATGTGGTCATGGTATCAGAAAAGATTAGACTTTTTTATTATCATAAATGTTGTTTTTTCTGTAAAATGTGACACTTGCTCTGCAAGAAGTTTTTTTTTTTATATGAATGTGTAGTCCTAAACTAAATTATTTTAAAAAGTCTCAAAGTAAAAATGATTTTATAAGCTTCACAAATCTGCACCTTGACATATTTTGATCAGTACATGAAAACTTAACATTCAGGAATGTTGCTAAAGTACTTGGAGGGTAGATCTTTGCTTTCTAGAACTAGGGATGTCCCAATCAAGCCATTTTTAATCAGTAGGTACTGTCCTGATAACAGTCATTAAGAGAAACTACTGTTGCACTGTACACACTGACTGCATTTTCTTTATAAGGGAGAGAATGTGTGTCCACATTCTTCAGTTTTAACTTTTAAAACAATGCATATATTATATGCATATTTTATGCATAACTTTGTATGTTTTTTTTTTTCTTTTTCTGAACAATCTGTGGGGCTTGAAGCACAGATTTGCTTCTATGAATTGATGTTGAGGTTAAAGAAAGATTGTATTGGCTGCTGCTGCATAGAGAAGGGATAAAGCCTTATAAGCAATGGATCAAGAAATGTAGTAATTAATACAATTAAGTTTATTTATGTCATACAATTCTAATGGGTGTAATTTATAGGATATTTATTATGAATTCTTAAACAATTATATGAAAAAAGTTTTTTTTTGTATAGAAATATTTTATAAAATATAATTGTTTCTATTTATCCACTGATTGTTAGTAATAAAGCTTTGTCATTTGCCCTTATATATCTCAATGTATAGTCAAATGTAGAAACTAACCACAAACCCGAACAAAGAGCCAAATATTAAGTGTGGAAGTCAAATTTTAAACAAAATTCAAGAGGGATATCCAAAGGATTGCCTGTGATCCAAGATTTTAATCAAAATTTATCTTACTCACTTCATCTGAAAAATAAACTCAAAGATTTCCGGCTGTCATTGTTAGCTCCAAATAACCGATTTTATTCTGAAGAAAATTTTGAAAACTTTGGAAAGACAGTAAAAATAAAGGAATTAAGGCCTTGAAGTCTGTCAGGTTTATACGCCTAACAGCAGCTGTAGATAAATTGATTAGACACCTCACCCTGTCTGTGAGAGTCACACCAGAGAGGGGCGATGTGGATCTCTAGACATCTGTTCAATCCTACTGCAAGGCTGTCTATCCGGCGAGGCACCAGCTGTTTGTGTTTCACACAGACATTTAACTGTTGTGCTTTTTCTCCTTAGAATTCTGAACTGAATTGTTAAAAGGGTATGAAAAAAAAAGAAACCTTGCTGAATAAGTTGGATTGTGGTCTCTGCTGCAGTGGATAAAGGCAACTCAAACAAAGATAGAGCAAAGACTCTATGGGTTTATCCCTAACAAAGAACAGAACTGACTCAACACAAAGATTAGATCATGATTAAAAAAAACCTAAATATGTGGTCAAACAAAAAACGTATTTTTTCAACGTTCTTTTTAACCTTTATTAATAAGGTAAATTCTCTCCCTTGGTCCTGGTTCTGCGTCCTCCTTGTTAGTTCATTCTTTCAAGGGTCTTACTTCCTCCAGCACTGTGAAAACACCCAAGTCATCATGTCTTCAGACACAGAGACATTCAGAACATGTACACTTAGCAGGTTATTATGCAAAGTAAAAATTACAAATAAAAGAAGAACATTTATTTATATTTCAAAGTTTTCTGTTTACATCTTATAGGCTAAATAAAGTCTGGGTGAATTTTTGACCCTCTGAAAGGAGAGTCTAGCTCAATTCGACCAACATTTAGAGCAGAATTCCCTCATTAACATTAAATAGCATTATTTGACTTATTGATTAATAAATATTATATTTTCACATCTATTGATCTTCATCTGAAGGATATGCATATAAAAAGTAAATTACAAGAGTGTTCTGCCTGTCATTCGATGTGCTCTGTAATGTTGCACAGATACTTCTATAAAGATAATACAACTTTTCTTTCTGTAAGGTTTGTTAAAAATGTTATGAACTGAAATTGAAATTAAAATATTAGCGATAATATAAAGACAGAATACCAAAACATGGGAAACATGATGCTAGAAGCAAGAACAAGACGGACGTTTATTGAAGAGTAGCTGTATGTGTTAAAACAGAAATGAAGATAAGTAAAATACTGTAGCTAAATGTGTTTTACTTTAAAACAGTAGCTTTTTTTTTTTTACCTAGTTAATAATGCATTAGGGCAGAATAATTAGGAAGACTCCCACAGGTTTATATTTTTTTTTATGCTACATTTGCTAAATCTGCTCTCTAAAGAGAACTTTACATACGGTACTTTTGTGATGTTTTTCTATTGACAGGTCTAATTTGGGGCAACTCTAATCAGTACCGTAACTATATATTTGAATGAGCACATGAACATAGAATCCACTGTGGAAATGTACATATATATGATCTCATGTTTTCTGACGGCTTTCTTTAGCAGATTGGTTTTAAATAAAAAATTATAGCGGTCTTTATCAGAAGATCAACATATCATTTTTCACTAATTTGTACAATCAACATTTTTGCTCTGAATGTTGCAGCACAATTTGATGACAATAGAATTGTTTTACATTCATTGAATATGAAGTAAATGGAGGGAAGTGGTAGACTATGATATGATAAAAAAAAATTCTAAAAATGATAATATTAAAGGTATCTGTGGTAATGATTTTTTTAAATTGGTTTCTTGAGGAAAGATCTGGGGACACAAAGAAATTAACGGAGGAAAGGTTGGTGTACTGAACTCTGTCCATATATTGATCTACTAGAATATTAATATAATTTGCTGTACTTTTTTTAGTTTTCTTTTCAACTTGCTTGTTTTCTTTCTTTTCTGGTCAAAGCATTTTAATGAACTGTTAGAGAATTGTTACTTAACATTTTCACGCTATCAAATATAAGTCTGCACCCAAGGCCCTTCCACCTGTGTGTTCTGAGAAAAAAATATATATAAACGTTTAAATAAATTATAAATAACATAAAAGAGAGGGTAGTATTTTCATCCATCATGTGCATTCAGATACACATGTTTTTAACGGTTTCACTCTACTCAAAAACAAAAGGCTTTATCTATTACGGTAGTTGTTTCAAACTCCAAAAATCAAATCACACTGGCAAAAAACTTGCATACTGTAAAAGAGATTTGGTCTGATCACATTGCTGTACAAAATAAAAAAAAAAAATAGATTAATAAATAAATAAAATGTTTGCTTCTGAAGAACAATAGAACTTCTGAGATCATCTCTAACTCAATAAATGGGATGCCAGATCTTACCTGATTTTTAGTTTAAAAAAAATATAACAAAAACATTTTCAAATTTGTTTGCTAGAGTAAAAAAAAAAACATTTTGAGTTAAAGAACAAGAAGGTTTTTTTGTTTTTATATTAACACCCAAACTGGGGTTGCCAAATCTTATTTATGCAGAGGTCTTAACCTTTTCTATCTGTTCGTCTCACAAACTCCCACCTAATTACTTATCTGTCTAAGAATGTCTTCTTTTTTTACGCTGCTTCTTTTTTTTTCCATTGGTCTAAACACATAGCCATATTTCTGTCTCTTTATAGTTGTAGTACAAATCTTTTAAGAAAGTGTAAATTTGCATGTCCATAAGTACAAAACTGATCATAAAACTGGTTTCTGATGGCACATGCCTTAAATTAAGCAGATTATTAATGGAGGGAGGTGATTCCTTTACCCTATCTGTGTTAGCACAGTCAACCGTGTTTAAAGGAAATGTCATATTTTGATGCATCCCAGCAAAATACCCAGTGTTAAAAAGGGGTTTAAAACATTTAAAATTTAATATTGAAGTTATAACTGTTCAGTTGATTACATGACATTTATACATTCACAAAACCTTCTTTTTTTTGTGGGGTTGTGAGGGTTATCACCTGTCTCCAGCACCCAGAAGGCAAGAGTATATAAGTATAGCCTGGACAGGTTGCAAATCCATCACAGGCCAACACAGGGACACAGAAAAAGCAGCCATGCATGCACACCCGAGGGCTATTTAGAGAGATAAATCAACCAAACAGTAATGTGTTTGGACTGTGGGAGTTTGCCAAAGAAACCTGGAGAGAACCCACGCGTAGGGAGAACATATCAACTCCATGCAGAAAGGCCAGGCTGGGAGAAGTGCTCCAAGGCAGCAGTTCTAACAACTGCAACACTGTGGAGCGAATGTGAAAACCAATTTTAATGAATTATTAATGCTTTTACCACAAATAGGTAATGTATCTGAGCTCACATCATTGGTGAAGTCAAAATCTAAATATGACTATGAGGTTATTACTGAGTTGCCCTGATCTCTGAGTTCAAAGATGTGTATTGAATATGTTTTTTTACTGTGCCAAAATAAATTATTTTAGGCTCTTGGCCCAGAATTATAAAGGACTACTGGAATGAGTTTATCACTTATTGTTATGCAGTCAAACATGAGTCAAAACTACCTGCCAGAACTGGAACTAAAGAGTTAAGAATCTAGAAACCAGGAAGTCCTGGCCAAAGGTAACATACACTCATTAACATATCCTCTTTTTCTTAGGCCATGCTTCTTGCTTCTTTTCATTCATTTCATTCATTCTTTTTCATTCTTTTCATTTATATGTTTTATGTTGGGGCCATGTAAAGCTAAAACTGCCACAAAACTCA